CATTAAATTCTTTTAAAAATTAATAATAATCATAATAATTTATATTGTCATCTACCGTGCAAATTCGCAAATTTAAAAATGAGACAATACTTAAGTCATAGCAGAAAATGTACCTTATTTGGATGTCTAGTGCTTTCTTCAAATGATGAAAGAAAGAATGTGCTTGGTGAAAAGGCTTCTTCACTGCTTGCACAGTTGCACGCACTAATATACCTTCTCGCTACTTCAAAGATTTTCACTACATGTAAAATAGAAACCAAAATGAAACAAATTAGTTAAAAAGCTAAAAAGAAATCCAGGATTGATCAAATCCTTTGAGGGGAGAGGGCGTGTATTATTTCAAAGAAATTGAAGTTTTAAGGGTTTGTTTAATCTGTATTCTGATGTATTAAATATATTTTTTTGTCATAAATTTATATTAAAAAAATCAACTCTTAATTTAGTAACTGTCCAATTAAATTTAATTGATACTAAAATTAATATCAACTTTTACATTGTTCTATATACATTTAATTTATAACAAAAAAAATACAATAAATATATTATTATCCAGTGCCCTAACAATATAAGATAAAAAAACTTAAGTTTTAATAAATTAGTCTCGAAACTAATAAAATAAATAATATTTTAAAATAAGAGAGTTAACTCCCACTATCTACTTAAAATCCCCATCACTTTCCCAAAAATTTCCCATATTCGGAAAAAAAAAAAAAAAAAGGGAAGAAAACTTAGATTGATAGAAGTAGACATGCATAATCAAATCAAGTTGACCTGATATCATATTGTTCCTCAGGATTGATCGACTTGTTACAATTTTTTAAAAAGATGTATAAGATTTGCATCTAAGTAAATATTTATTTTATATATATAGAGAGGATATTGATATATCCTTCTAATTTAGCATATCTTACAATGTATTTATTAAAAAATTATTATTATTCAGTTTAAAATTCAATGTGAACATTTAAACTTGCAGCCATACATATAATATGAACTAAATTAACTGTATTTATATTATATTTTAATTATCAAACAAAGTGAATGTCGACAAGTGCATTAAATTAGTGGTTGTACCAATCATTTTTCATATATATATATATATATATGTGAAGAAAATATACAAGAATTGCTGTTAAAAAATATACATATACAAGAACTAAAAGAAAAAATTAATATACCTTATGGCATCGAACCACTGTTTTCTGACCAATTCGAGGGTTTTGAAGAAGGTTGAGAATGCAAGTTGACGAAAAGAAAGGATGTGCTTAGCGAAAGGCTTCTTCACAAACTGCACGCTTCAGTATGCTTCCTATCTTCTTCAAAGATTTTCATTACATGTAAAACAGAAACCAAACGTAACAAATTAGTTAAAAGGTAGAAGACTGATCTAATCCATTGCAGGAGAGGGAGAGTTTAATCCAAAGAAATTAGATAAAAAGATAATTATAATTTTTAATAAATGTGAACAAATCTCAACCATAAACAATAAAGATAAATAATTGAGATTTTGTATACGTATGGTGTTTAAAATTTGTGTATAAATAGATTTCTACTCATATAAGGTAGGATCCTCTTACACGCAACCTTCTTATAAATTTTATACAAAATCACACCTTCTTATTTTATACTATGAATAATTGAAATTTGAGACAATTTTTTGGGTAAAATAATAATTAACTTTTAAAAAAATAAAAAATAAATAAATCTCAACCATTCATGATGAAAAAATAAATAGTTAAGATTTTATATAAGTGACATGTGTAAGAGTTATGTGTAAGTGAATTCTTGACAATTCATCTTTCCACTTTTAATAGTTAGATTAAATTAGATGTAATTATCTTTATCATCTAACAAATCATGATAAATTTTAATCATTAAAAATGGAGAGATAAATAGTTAAGATTTTATATAAGTGTAATGTGTAAAACTTATGTGTAAGTGGATCGTCCTTATGTATAAGATAAATTTTATATACTACATTTACATAAAATATTAATTATTTATCTCTCTACTTTTAATAGTTAAGATTTATCGTCATTTTTTAGATAAAAAGATAATATATTTAATAAATGTAAATAAATTTTAAATATTGAAAGTGAAAAGATAAATGATTGAAATTTTATGTAAATGTAGTATGTAAAATTTGTGTGCAAATGAATTTTTACTCTATATATATAAGTGTTGACGTAAGGAATAACGTATATAACTAGAGAAATTTTAGGCTAAAAATACCTAAAAACTCTTAGATCTGTAAAGGATAATAAAAAATAATTAAAGAATTTGATTATCAAGTCAAATATAAAGAGATACTACCAACTAAAAAAATGCATCAAAGATATTATATAGATTTAATTATATAATGAAATGCATCAAAGAAATTCATAAAATCAAATATAACCCATTTATGTGATACATTAAGAAATAAATATGCTTGCCATTACTGAGTTGACCTTGAAATAAGTAGAGGTAGATACTACCAACTAAAAAAAAAGTTATGTTGTCATATGCACATTCAAAAAATGAGACAAAAATTAATTGTAAAATAGTTAATTTAAAGAAGACAACAATTACAATTTTCTCAAAACAACTAGGAATGACTTTAATAAGGGTATATCTAGCAGAAGGTTTCTTCAAAAATTGCTCAGATATATACTTTCTAATTATTCCAAAAATTTTCAAAAAAAATACAACAAAATTAAAAACCAAAAAAAGAAAAACACTCTAAAACCTTATACTTTGGAGGAGACTGAGGAGAAAGAGTATAATTCAAAGAAAAGGATATACTATATACTAAGCTTTAATAATTTAGTGATAAAGTTGGAAAAGCTTATATTAAAACCAAGCCTTTGAGAGAAGAAAAAATGACGGTGAAAAAAGAAGAAAAAAAAAAGGACCGAAAAATATATACCAGCTGGTTTAGAAGTTGGGCTTCCTCGATTACAAGGTTTGAGAGACAAATTGCAGATATTAGAATATGTTGTGGATTTTACCAACATGATGCAATCTGCAGAAAATAATTTTAGATGATAAGTGGTACTAAATTGTAGTAGTACATAAAATCAAAGGCTGAAAAGTTTGTTCGGAAACGGAAAAGGGGACCGAACTATTGGTGAAGCCATTTGAAGGTGAATCTCATCGGTTGCATAAGAAAATAAGTGAGGCAGCAATGAAGAGCAGGAAGGCAGTGAAAGAAAACAAGTGGAGATAGCTTTTTATATTTGAATCTACTAAGCTGGGAAGGAAAGCAGTGAAATTAAGAAAGGACATTTCTAACCGTGGAGTAGAACTTTTTCCCTTTTTATGTAAATTGATTATAAAAAGAATTGCATAAAACAATATATAAAAGAAAAAAAGTGGAAACTATGAGGGTGTTTGAGAAATTTTAAAAAGTTAAATTTTCTCTTATAAATTAAAAAAATTACCGAAAAAATTTTAAAAATTAATTTTTAAAATAACTTTTTAATAAGTTTTAAAAACTAAAACTGCAAATTTAAGTTTTCTTAAAATTAAACAAAATTAAACAGGCATATATACAACTGTCAAAAATTGTAAGAATTATTTATAAAATTATTATTAGTAATCATTTATAGAAGATATTACAGATCAATTTTGACTCTTAGAAAATTAGAATCCTAACAATATCATTTTATTTAATTAAAACTCAATTTAAAATTTAAAAATTTACATTATTATTAAACATTAATATTCATATTTAGAATTAACATGTACTATTATCTTATCAATATTCTTAATCACAAAATTAAAATTCTATTGCTAATGACTCTATTTCTATTATTAATTAGTTATTTCTGTTATCTATTTTGCCTTATGCTACTTATTTCTTAACTAGTCTATTTTACAATTTTGTAACATAACAATAACTGGAGGTTTGTAATTGCATGCCCTAATTTCTTTACTAGAGGCACCTTGTACAAATTATGGCATTATGAATCTGAAGATTAAGCTCATTTGAAGGTTAAGCTCATCAGTTGCATAAGAAAATATGTGGGGCGGCAATGAACAGAGGAAGGCAGTGAAAAAAAACATGTGGAGAATAGCTTTGTAGATTTGAATCTTTAAGGTAGTGAG